GCTAAAGCAGCCCATCTCTATTCTTCTGTTTCACCTGCTCAACGTCTACCCCCCCATAGAGCATCTACCAGATGCCAGGTGCTGTTCTAAGGGCTGAGGACACAGCAGTGAACACTACAGAGGAAGCTCATGTCTTTCTTACATGCCTACATAGCTCTTAAAACACTTGATTATCTTCTTTGGGTACCTACTAAGTCTTCCTCACCAAGTGCCGAGAGGGCCAGGGCTGAGTCTGTCTTGCTCACTGTGTTCACTCACCAGGCAAATAAGCATTTGTTCAATAAAAGAATGGATGGAAGGCGGGCAAGCAGGCTGGGTAGGTATGCAGAGCAGCTGGCACACGCCCCCCGGGTACTTGGTTCTTGCTAAGATCTTACTGAACTTAACTGAAGTTTTCTTCAAAGAAATCTCACTGTTGACCCCTTAGGGCAGCAGTCCCCAACTTTTTTGGCACCAGGGACTGGTTTCACGGAAGACAATTTTTCCACGGATGGGTGGGGGTGGGGTGGGGTGGAGGCGCAGCTCAGGTGGTGATGCAAGCAATGGGGAGCAGCTGTAAACACAGATGAAGCTTACTTCCTGCTGTGCCCCCACCCCAGACTGGTACTGGGGTTTGGGGACCGAAGCCTTAGGGGAGCCCTCTGCTCCCAGCTCTGCTGCCAGCACGTCCCGTCCCACCCTGCATCACCCTCTGCAACAGACTGCTTATGTCCCCTCAAAATTCATATGTTGAAACCCTAATTCCAATGTGATGGTATTAGGAGGTGGGGCCTTTGGGAGTTGATTAGGTCATCAGGGTGGAGCCCTCGTGAATGGGATTATAAGAACTGTAAGAAATGTTTGTTGTTTAAGCCACCCAGTCTATAGTATTCTGTTACAGCATACTGAACTAAGACACTCTCTGACTGTGGTCATCTTGACAAAGACAGGCAACACAGGAGAGGAGTAAACGCAGCCTACTAGGGGTGAATGGCATTAGAGTCCATTTTCCAAAAGGAGCCCCTGCCTACCTCCTCACAACCCCCCTTCATTGCCATGCAGGCCCCATGACCAGTGATACTCCAGCACCATCTAGCCTCAGGGGCTGAGCCAAGAAGTTTCTGCCTGCCCTGTGACCCCTCACAGGACCTGACAGCTGCCCGACAGCCTGCCTGGCATGCATGTTCTCTCTCATCTAGTCCAGCTACCTCTCTTTCTTGCTGAGTGACTTTGACCAAGTCTTACTCCCTGGACCTTCATTTCCCTACCTCTAATACACAAGGTGGGCTGGAGGCAAGCTCCCTGGTCACAACCCAGAGACAGGACTTTAATACCTCAGTGCAATGATCCTATGGTCCCTTCTCCTGCTGACCTAAGAGCCCCCTGAGGCCTTGCAAACACTGCAGACAAAGCCAGCCCCAGCACCAACCCCCCTGCTTGCCTGTTCTGTGAAGGCAGCTTGCAAAACTGGCAGCCCCTGCAGATTTGAGCTGCAGAACTGGCAAGATGGGGCACCCTGAAACCTGACTCCAAAACAGCAGCAAACCCAAGGCCAAAAGGAAGTACAGGGTTCTTTGCCGAGGCCTCTGCACTCAATCCCCACCTAGTCCCCCAAGGGGGCACAAAGGTGATTAGTGCCTGGCTCCCTACCTCTTCTTACACCCCCAGTCTTTATCCTTCCAGGACTAGGAGAATCCCCAAAAAACCAAGGTCACCATCAAGCCAGGATGAGGATGGGGGAGGAGCTCATAGCTCTGCCTCAAGTGGATTTGGATGCAAAGGCTTTTTCCACAAGCTGTGGGGGTAAGTCCCATGACTATTCCAAGCATAACTTAGGCCCCGGGTCCTCTGCCGCTTCAGCAGTTGTCCCCTTTGCTGGGAGAAGCTTTCCAACCCCAACTAAGGGCCTAAGAGGGGTCCGGCCTTTCCTGACATCCCGTTAGACCCGGGGGAGGCGAACGGAGAAGTCATAAGCCTAGGAGAGGGGTGTGTGTCCGCCCTGGGGATACCTCCCTCTCCCTCACCAGTGCCCCAAGCCGCCCTGGTCCCACGCAGAGAGGGCACTTACAGGCCTTGGAGGCGGGGGAGGACCTCATCCTGGGGTCCCATCCCCGGCCAGAAGGTGCCCTCAACCAGAAGCGGCGGCATGATCTGGGCGGCTGGTCCAGCCCGAGGATTGCGGATCGTAGGCAGGAGGGGGGAACGGCAGTCAAGACCCTACTCCAAATACCCATCGAAGACGTCGAGCTCCGAGTCAGCATCGTAGAGGCCGGAGCCGGGGTCGGAGAGCACGCCGAGGTCCACGAGCGCCTGGTCCATGTCCTCGGGCAGGAAGACGAGGCCCACGTTGAGGACGATGTACTCCATGAGGAAGGCGTAGTACAGGATCAGCACATTGACGAAAAACAGGCCCACGAAGAACATAGAGGGCAGCAGCGGTGGCGGCACGTAGGGGACCAGGGGGCCCAGTGCGTCCAGGTGGGCCGCGACCCGGGCGCCGGGCATGCAGGGGGCGGCGAGGGCAGCAGCGGCCCGGCGGTCCCAGCGAGCTCAGCCGCTAAGGCGCCTGGGCGGCCGGCGGGGGGACAGCTCAGCCATCCAGGGGCGCCCCGGGTGTCGACGGAGGCGGTGCTGGGCCCCCCTGCGAACGCAACCCGACCCCCGAAACGTGCCGGGCGGGGTCGCCGCACCCGCAGATGTTCCCACAAGGTCCCCTCGTCCCGCCGGGCGGCGACCGGGCCCTTCTGAAGTGGCCGGCGGCTGCCCGGCTGCCCCGCTCGCGCTCACAGGCCCTCGCAGCGCCGGCGGGGACCCCACGGCGGCTCAGCGTCGAGGGCCAGTCTCGGCAGCGGTCTCTCCCGCCCGGCCCTGCAGTTCCTCGCGCCCCCTGCGCGCCCCCGCAGGCCCAGCGCCCATGGCTGCGGCCGCCGCGTCGCCCTCGGGTCCCGATCCGAGCACCGCCTCCCGAGCGGCTCCACGCTCATTGGCCGGCTGGCCCCTGCCCGCGCTCATTGGCCGGCTCAACGCCCGCGTTCATTGGCCCGAGCCGCGAGGGGGCGGGTACCGCTTCGCTTCGCTCCGCCCCTCGGGGCGCCCGCCTCTGACTTGCTTTCCCCGTTCCGGTCCGCGCTCGAATCTCAACTCGGATTCAGTCTGCGGGGCCAGGGAGTAGGGGGAGGGAAGAGACTGAACACAACTCAAACCTCGACTTATCCTAAGACTACAAAAGCCAGAGGAAACCGCGGGCTTCTTCTGCACCTTGCTGGACTTTGTGATGGCGCCACGCCTCTTTGGGACTCAGTTTCCCCTTTAAAAGAAGGCGGGGTGGGGGAGGGGCGGCGGACAGTTCCAGTGAGAATCTTGGACATTCCCAAAGCGCCAATATTCATGGTGGAGATCAATCAGTGTCCCCTTCGCCTCTCCAAATTCTGGCTGCTGGAAGTTCTGCCTGTTGGCTGATAACGCATCACAGAGCCTGGGAAACACCTGAATAAAGAGATTCCGAGGTAGTTCAGACCTTCAGCAGTAAGGTTGCTTTTGTTTGTTTGTTTTCCTTTGTAAATTATGTTTAAACACAGTAATGCACGTGGCTAAACATACAAACGACCAAGAAGTGCACGGAAAAGTGAGTCTTTCCCACCAGTGATTCCCCTGATCTTTGGCAACCGTTGTACATCCTTCAGGAAACTCATCTTGCCCAGAGCGCCTTCCAAAGCAGTTCAACAAACCTTTAAATCTCAGGCCACGCCAAGCTGGGTGATATACATGCATTGCTTAATTGGAGGCAGAAAAGGCAGTGTAGTATGTTACCCCTTTTTACAGATGAGGAAACTGAGCCCAGAGAAAGGAGGGACTCTGGAAGCTGCTGGGCCTGGGTGTGTTTTTTAGGAGGCCAGAACCTGCCCTTTATTCCCCATGACTTTCTCTTGCCCGGTCTATGTGAATTACAGGGCAAACCATTAACCCTCCATAGGTCTCCATTTCTCCAACTGCTGAAGGTAAAACAAACCTTCACTCATTCATTCACTCTGCTGATTCTTGTGGAACACCTACTACGTGCTAAACCTTGTGCTAGGCATTGGGGAGAACGTTGGCCCTGACTCAATTCTTTCCTGAGCGTAGTTAATGGGACACACTTTAAGGCATGGAAATGAATGAACGAATGGTAGTCAATCGGGAAGTCTTGTCCGCACTGAGCTTCCCCCTTCTAATCCAGAAGAGAAATTTAGATATATCTTGGCTCATGTAAAAAGATGAATGTTTCCTTTTTCTGTTTAGTGGGTAGTTTGGGAAATGGCATAGATTTTGGCTGAAGACCAGAGAAATTCTCTGAAAGTACAAGATGTTCAGTTTGGTACATTGTTGCTTGCAGGCCTTTCCAATACACACACACATACAAACTCTCTCTCTCTCTCTCTCTCTCTCTCTCTCTCTCTCTCTCAATTGACATGGAAAAAGAAAAAGGCTGTGAGGACAAACAAGGCAGTTACCAATTTGGTGTAGTTTTGGTTTATTGGGAAGGGATGAAAATAAGGGTGCAAGGGTATGAACCCTGGTGATGCCACTTATTAACTGCATGACCTTGAGTAAGTCAACCTCTCTGTGACTCAAGTTTCCTGGACAATAAAATGGGAATAATAGTACCCTACCAATAGTAGGGTTGTTGTGAGAATTAAATACCTTAACACATGTAAAGCGCTTAGGACAGTGGTACATAGTATATGCCATGCAATAGCTATTCTAATCTTATCATAAAGCTAATAATTATTATTAATAATATCGTGGTGACTTACCTCCACTCATCTTCACCTGTTCCCTCTCCAGGTCTCCGCCCACAGGCTACCCAGTCCCGCCCACCCGGACGAGTCTTCGGCCTCCCCTCCTCTCGCTCCGCCTCTTCTTGAAGGCCTCGGGTCCGCGGTGCGTGGTGCATGCCGGGTCTTGTAGTCTGTTCGCAGAGTCCCGTAGCGGGGGGCCTCGCACATGAACTGCATTTCCCAGAGTTCCTCGAGGCGGCGGCCGTAAAGCGCGGCAGTCGAACGGCCGGTTCCGGCTGAATGTCAGTGCGGGGCTGTGGGCCGGGGAGGAAGGTGGCTGGCGGTCCCTCCACCGCCTCCGCCGCTGCCTCCTGCGCTTGTGTTGCCGCCGCGGGCGCTGGGCCGCTCGGCCGGTGGGGCATGAGACCGTGAGGCGAGCAAGGAATCGGGGCCGCCGACATGTTTGGCCGCTCGCGGAGCTGGGTGGGCGGGGGCCATGGCAAGTCCTCCCGCAACATCCACTCCTTGGACCACCTCAAGTGAGTGTATTGGGGGCGAAGGGGGGAGGCCGCGGGGCTGGGCATGGGGAAGAGGGTGCATAGCCCCGGGCCGGGGCCGCTGGGAGGTGGAGAGTGAAAGTGGGGGGCCGAGAGGGACTCGCGGGGAAGCAAGGCTGTAGGGTGGTTAAGAGCGAGGGCTCTGGAGTCAGAGCGCCTGGGTTCGAACCCTGACCCCGTCGCTCCTGGCTGTGTGACCTTGGACAAGTCGCTTAGTTTCTCAGAGCCTCGATATCCTCACCTGTAAAGTAAGGGGATGCGATTTCAGTTTATGAACGTGGACTTTGTTCTTGCTGGGGACGGACGGTGGCCACCAAGCCTCCCGGGGTGGTACTTCTTAGACCGGACAGTTTAGGGGTCAAAGGCCTGAGTCCTAGAGTTGAGCAGATCCTGGTTTGAATCTAGGTGTGTGAATTGAAGCCTCAGTTTCCTCACTTGTAAAATGGGTAGTGTGACAGCACCTGCTTCCTGCAAGTGTTTTGAGGGTTGATTGGATAAGAGAATGAACATAAAGCTCAGAACATGGATTAGTGCTCAATAAGGAGCACTAATTAAAAGAACAAAGTATTTCCTGGGGGGAGTCTAAGCAGGAAATAATCAGAAGTAGAGCTCTCTGGGAGCACAAGTGGCAAACAGGGCCCCTGGAAAGCAGGAGTGCACAGAGATTGAGATTGGCTTTGCAGTCAGACCTGCCTTCAAATCCTAACTCCAACGCTTAGTGGCTATGTGACCTTGGACAAATTACTTCACCTCTCTGAGCCTCCAGTTCCCCATCCGCAAGTGAGGATGATGAACATGGTTCAGGATTCGGTAACGTCATGCTGCATTTATCACTTCGGCAAGGCCTTCCCAGACCACCCTACCTAAAGTGCTCCTCTCATCCCAATTCCTTTCTGCCAGATCTTGCTCTTGATTTCATTCAGTGCATCACCAGTATCAGTGATTATCCTGTTCATTTCTACTTCTTTTCTGTCTCCTATTAAACTGGTACTTCCAGCGGGGATAGAGACTGCTTGGTTTGTTCACAACTGTATTCCCAGCATTTAGCACTGTGCCCAGCACACAGTAGGAGCTCAGTGGATACTTAAAGAATGAAAAAATGAATCAATAAATTGGGGAGAGGTTCGGAGTGTGCAAGCTGAGACTCAGGTTTTGGGGGCAGGTGGGGAGGGTGATAAAAAATAGAGACCTTTGAGGAGGAAATGACTTCAGGGAGGAAGTGGCATTTAATAAATGTGTGTGAGTCTCAAAGAATGGGGGGCTGGAGGGTTCATTACGTAGTGAGGGATGGTTTTGGGGGGAGGTGGTAAGAGAAGACAAGGAGAGGAAAGAGGCCCAGGATAAGGTTGAGGGTGGGTATGGAAGCAGGACTCTTGAATGGAAGGGCAGGGAAAGGGAGAGACTAAGGATTTCAGGAATTTATGAGTGGGCAGATGTGGCAAGGAGGGGAGGATGGTTATCCAGAGGAGGCTGGGCCTCCTGCCAGCACCCAGGTGCCTACAGGCTCTCACCTAACTCTGCCTGACTCTAGCCCTTTTGAATTACTTTAATTGTTATTGAATGCTTTATTCTGGGTGGGGTACTTGCTAAGGACTTCCTGTGTGTTATTTCCATTCGTCCTCAGACATCTGTGAGTTAATAGGAGCTATTATTGTTTCCATTTTATAGAAGTGCAAACTAAGGTTGAAGGTGCTTAAGTCACTTGCCTCCAGGTAACAACAGCTAAATAGTGTCTATAGAACTTATACTTGTTATACTGTCTTTCTGAATAAAACTTCCTGATAGGTCAGTTGGGGACACTTTTGACTCAGCTGAGCCTCATCACTAATGAGGCATCTTTGCCACCTGGCAAGCCAGGGAATGGTAAAGGTTCTCAGGTTCCTTTGCCGTATCCTGGGAACTGCCCAGGTTCATTGTTTAGGTCGTGTGTCTGTCAGGCGCTTCTTTGGGAACCCCAGCTGCCTGCCCTGGATCAGGCAGATCAGCTTAATCCATATTACAGCCAGAAGAACCTGTGATTCATGCATTGGTGGGGAGCTTAGAAGATTTCCCAGATGACGTGGAAAAGAGTGCCGTAAAAGCCAGTGCCCACACCAATGCTTGCACTGCTCTTCATTTGACTCTGCTAGTGAGCATCTTGGGGCTTGGGTACAGAACAGCTTATTCCCTGAGTCTGTAGGCTGGCGGGGAAGACAGCCATAGATCCAGTGGCTGTGCAGTGTGACAAGTGCTGGGATCACTGTAGGCCCAGGGGTATGTGGAAACCCTCCTTGGACAGGTAGGAGCCACCCTATGGGATAGTGGGGTATGGGAGGGAGAACACCATAATCGGGACGCTGGGGTTTGGGGCCTGCGGGGGTGGTGGTAGTTGTGGGAAACAAGGCTAAAGGTAGGAAGGGGCTTGGGAATTGTCTGACATTGAGGGTGACCAACTGTCCAGGTTTGCCTGCGACATGGAACTTTCAGTGCTAAAACTGAGAAAGTCCTGGGCAAACCAGTAGCCAGTACAAACTGGTCAGCCTATCAGTGACAAGTGACAGTTCCTGATATACTCTTGTCCTGACCTAGGGCAGTATGGGCGGAGAGGAAAGGTTAAGATATTTAAGCAAATTTAGAATCGATAATTATTATTATTTTTTTTTAAACACACAAAACATCTGTTCTGGGAACCCTCCTCTTCTAATAGACTTAATTTTTTTTTAGAACAGTTTGAGATTTACAGAAAGATTGAGAAGGTAGTACAGAGAGCTAGAAACCCTTTTTCAACCACATTATTCTTCATAACACTCCTAGCTTGCAAACTGGAGAGGAATTTTCCTGTTAGGGTTTTGCTTTTGCTAAATAATAAGGAAATCATAATGGAATAAAAATGGAAAATTGCATACTGTAGTCTGTCTACTGAATCAAGTTAGTGATTTAGTTGAGGCAGATTGAAAGAGTCAAGAGGTTATTTCCTGCACGCCATGGGTGGTTTGTTGCCCAGACTAGTGGCAAGGCTGCGACACTGACCGACAAATGCACACCGCTAGGTAGAAAAGCTTTCCTGATGGAGTGGTGTGATTGTTACTGAAATGTCTTTACCAGGCACTGCAAGTCCACAGCTGGTAGAACTTGATGGCGGTTGTGTTGTGCTGTTGCCTTACTTCTGGTCATCTTTGTGTGTGGGCCAAGATTCTTGGTTGCAAATGACAGAAACCCGGCTCAAATTGTCTTAAGCCCCAAATGGAATTGGATAGCTCCTGTCGCTAAATGGTCTGTCCTGGCTAAACCGTGGCTGAATCCAGGTATTTAGTGCCGTCAGGAATCTGCCTCTTCCCATCTCTCAGCTCTGCCTCCTTCCACGTTGGTGTCATTCTCAGACAGCCTCTAGGCGTGCATCATATCAGTTTAGTAATCCCTGGGGAAAAGAGAGCTTCCTTTCTTAATATTGCCAGCAAAAGTCCAGAACTGAGTATTGTTGGACCAACCTGAGTTCTCATGCCATCCCCGAGCTGTCACTGTGGCCAGGAATATACGGTGCTCTAATTGGCCAGCCCTCATTCATATGCCCTTCCCTGGAGCCAGAATGGGATCAGCTCCACCCAAGCTAGTGGAGAGAGAATGAGAGAAAGAGGTGGTTCCCTATGGGAGAATCAGGTTATTACCCAAAGAAGGTGGGGAATGTATGCCCAGCAGGTAGACGCTCACCTACTCTTGGTATATTCAACTTTTGACTAAGATGGTACTGACAGTTTCAGAGCTGGGGGTACAATATTGCCATATTGATTTTCTTAAAATATCATGTTCACCATATGACACATAATGGGTCCTAGGCACCCACTGTGTCAAGTCTAAATTCTTTCAGGCTTTCACAGTTCTCTAGACTCTTTTCCCACCCATCCAGTTTGGAGCACAGGGGGTCAGGAACATTCTTGGTTGGCAGACACCCAACCAAATGGAGACCTAAAGGATGAGTCATTGTTACCAAGCAGTAGGGGGACAGGGAGGAAGGAAGTGTGTTTCAGGCAGAGAAATGGCATTGGAGAAAGCTGGGCGGGGGACAGGGCAGGGGGAGCAGTGCACATTGGCAGAACTCCGGTGGTTCAGTAAGGGAGTGCACATGGGGGGAGGGGGAATTACAGGACCCGAGTGCAGAGCCATGGGTCACCAGAGGCCAGGTCCCTCTGGGCCTTGTAAATCATGTTAAGAATTTGGACATTAGAGTACAAACAGTGGGGAGCCGTTAAAAGTTTTTGACCAGAGGAGTGCTGTGGTCTGGCTGAAGTTTGCAGAGTGGATTGGAAGAGGGCCAGACTGAAGGTGGGCGTCTGCTCAGGGGCCACTGCCTTCTGGTGAGTTCTGGGAGCAGCCTGCTGTCATCCACGTACATTCCGTTGGACACTCCTCTCTCTCTGTCTCTCCCTGGCACACACCTCACAAGCCCACCTGAGCACCTGTCCTCTTCCTGCCCATCCAAATGCCAATTCTTCTCTAAAGATTGCACGGGACACTTCAGCTGACGAGAGTTTTACTGTCTTCTCTAACTTCTCTTCTGCTTGTTCTCATTGTCCCACTCAGTTATCGCATTATTATACACTGTCTTCTCATCGCCAAGGAGTGGACTGGCTGTTAGGTGCTATGGGTTCTTCAAGCGTCATCTCAGCCTTGGATTAGAGCCCCAGGAAGTTTGCCAGGGTTCCTCAGGCATGTCCTTTTGCCATCAGAAATCATCTTACTTTGTTATGCATCTTTTTGTCGTTCTCTCTCAATTTGAACGTAAGCTCCATGAAGGCCTGTGTGACTTGTTCAGCTGTGTATATCTTCAGATGCCAGCACAGGACCTGGCAGATAGTAAGCAATCAACAAATATTTGTCACAGGAAGAATGAAAGAGGCAAGTTCTGGCCAGCCTCTTCTTAACTATTGCTTGTTCTCACCAGTTTGGTCACCATGCCTGTGCTGGAACCGTGACTTTTCTCCGAAAAATGTGCCTATACCCCACCA